AGTATGAAGTGTGTTCTTAACTTAAAAGGGGAGGCGTAAAAACGTCCCTTGCTTCTGCGTGGGGTGAAGTTCTACAGATTTGTTTCTTTAATCTCGCCTTTTTATCAGTTGTTTTTTCTTTTCTTTTTGTCAATTCATCAGTTCGTCTCGTTTCTTTAGAAGAACTACCATATGCGTTGTTTAATAAGGCGTCACTACCCTGGTCCCCAATTCCACTACCCGCCCCCGGTCTCTGGTCCCCAAAGTGCTTTCAAAATGTATTTGGTTACAAAATAATTCCGCGCTTTTGGCGCGCTATTTCAGAAAAAACTGCAACATAACGTGCCAAAACACGACGGCACAAAAACAACGTGCTATGGTAAAAAAAAAAAATGCTGCCGTTAACTGAAATAAGACTTATTTCTAGACAGTCACGGGGAGGCGCCCCCATGCCCTTAAAAAGGCGCCCCTGACAGCGTTGCCCCCCCAACGAAAACCAAAAAGTTACGCCCCTGATGTGTGGTTTCAGTCATGGGTATGTTCTGCTTCTGAAGCCTAGGAACGATTAGCCAGACTGCAACGAGACTTTAAATGTAGCTTACCTGTATCTTCACCCTTGCAGCTACAACTTTATCTACTGACGTCTTCTTTTCAATCAGTCCGCATTTAAAAATCGTCGGTCAAAACCATCCGTTAAGATTGGTAAAACCACACATTACTTTAGCGGTGGGCTGTACACCTGGTGGCCATTTGGTAAGCAGTAGTTCAGGTAGATGACGCTGCCGTCAGCGCCGTACAGCGATCTCCTTCGACGAACGTCCTGCGGACGGGGTCGGATTCCCTCGTACGTACATAGGTAGGGGAGAGTGGGGAAAGATGCCCAAGGTTTTGCAATGTCATACATTATTCGAAAATGACAACCGGAAAGCAAAAACTTGGAGTTTCAACGGAAGCCGACATCATTTAAAGAATATCACAGTTTCGTGCCTGAAACATGATAACTTTTTGCTATTAAGCATTTTCCTGAAGAAGTGAAAGGGGGCATCTTACCCCAGATGGTGGGAAAGACGCCCCTGGCGTTGGGGGAGATGCCCCCTGCACTATATGTGACATAAATGGGCACCTGAATTGCCTGAAGGAATCACTAGTCCCTTCGAGCCGGTAGACACTAAAGGCTATCATAAGGGCCCTAAAAAGTCGTCGTGAGGGGCTTCAGAGGTCATCGTGAGGTCCATCATGTCCAGCGCGATCAAACGAGCCTCTGTGGTGGCGTTCGGAGACCGTCGTGGGGCTCTTATAGGTCTTCATGATGCTTGAGGGCCCTCAAGCCCATCGTGGGGACCTCAGATGCTAGCGCGGCCCGTGGAGCCAACGTGGGAGCCCTCAAAGGATGTCGTGAGGGGCCTTGGAGTCAATAATGGGGCCCACAGAGGCCGTCATGAGGGCTCTCAGAGTCTGATGCCGCCCAAAAAGTCGCTGTGTGGGCCGATAGACCGGCATGGAGAGCACCCGACCGTATTGGACTCTCAATAGTCCCAGATCGGCTTTTGTTTCTCATCACAAGTATGTAATAAATGATTCGACGGGTTGCTTCAGTGGCGGATCCAGGGGGGGGGGGGCAAAATGGGCATTTGCCCCTCCCAAACGGCATAATTTTAACATTACGCCTATGGACGAGGCATGGAAAGAATCGATAAATTGCTATGGTTTGCCCCCCGCCCCCCCCCCCCCTAAAAAAAAACTCTGAGCTGGATCCGCCTCTGGGTTGCTTGAAGGACAGCGTACGGAAATAGGGGCGTCTTTCCCCATCAGAGCAGGGGGCATCTTTCCCCAAGGTACCGAATTAACATTTAATCAGTACAATCTGTTAGCCATAAAACAACAACCTGAAACAAACTAGTTGGGACACAGTACACGCATGCTTATGTATCACGACCATAGCAAGGGAGATAAAAATTATTTACCTTCTTTGATATTTACAATGTTTTGACACCAAATTTTTTTTTTTTTTTTTTGAAAGCAGCAAATAAAAAACATGCAATCACCAGCCAACCGTTGCTCAACTGAGCTTCGCAAATTTTTGTGTAGTTAACCCTCGCGGGCCCGGGGGGGGGCGTTTTTCGCCCCCCCCCTGGCGAATATTTGCGATAGCTCCCGAACGCTTAGGGATAGGAAAGCGAAACTTTCAGTACCTTTTCTCCCATCAATTTGACATCTTCTGAAGTAAAAAATTTGGACCTAGCCCCCTTGATGACGTCACAAGGTCCATTTTTCTAGACCCCTGCACGGCAAACTTCGGCGTCACAGACGCAAACTTCAAATAGCTACTAAAAATAGAGTTTTAGAGATAAAGACAAATTACGAGTACGGTTGTGTAGCATTTGACCTAGAGAAAAATAGAAAAATAGTTTTGGTGACCTGAGGTCAGAGGTCAGGTCAACGACCCCGAAATGTGGTTTTAGTTTTTCGAAAATAACTTCGACAAAAATGGTCCTAGAGCTACGGCAGTGGTACCATCGCATTCGCCTTGTCAAGCCGCGTCGAATGATATATATTTTGTTCGGAAAAGGTCAAATTTTATGTTGACCTCATGTGACCTCGAATGACCTCTGGTTGACCTTGACACATGAAAGGTCGTTTATGATGGATTTGTATCCGCTGATCACGAATCTGGCATCTATTTTCCTCTCAGCCTTCATTTAGAGCTTCCGGATGGCAAAATTGTCTTATTTATTATAACTAACTTGAATTAGTGAAATAGCCTCTAGCAGGGATACTCTTCTGTGACCTTGACCTTTGAGCAGCCTTGTATCGTAAGATGAACCACAAATAGGGGACTGGTAAGCCTCAAAACATTTCAAAACATCTTGGAAGTTAGCACGCAAGATGTGCGAAAAAGTGCCAATTTTGAGGTCAATTTTGAGCGTGACCTTGACCTTGACCTTTGATTTTGAGCACAGTTTCGGAATCCTCAAATTCTCTTCTTTTGTTTGACACCCAATTTTGCCGGTTTGATGCAGCCTGCCGTCCTCTAGAAGGCTTACTTTGAGATCACTACACATGTGCCGGTTTTTGCCTTTGACCTTGACCTCTGACCTTGAAAATTGACCTGAGGTCAAAAATTTTAGGTGCTTTAGAATCGTCTCGTAAGGACCTTTCGTTTGGTATCGCTTTTGTTTCCGTAGCTCCCTTATTTACGGAGTTAGACAGGGGGGCGAAAAACGCCCCCCCCCCGGGCTGCGGTGGTTGGGATTACCCCCCGGGCCCGGCCGGGTTAACAAGACAGGCTTCCGCTTTACGCTAGAACATTAATTTTCATGTTAGATTATTTGTTTCGCCGCTAGAGGGGGTGGGGCGTCTTTCCCACCCTGGGCATCTTACCCCACTCTCCCCTACGTAATCTCAGCCGCATCATCTCGATTGAGGAGGATATTGAAAACCGATAGGTCCGGCTTATAATCCATGGTCTGGCGAGGGCTAGTGCCTAAAATAGGTGGCAAAATGTGGACCCGAAGACCCGGTCCAAAGAACCAGTCTGGAGTATAGACTCTGGACCCTGGGTCCAGACCGGTTCCTGGAAATTTTCTGACGGGTCCAACCGGGTCCTGCCATAAACCATGCATCTTGCACACTACACATGATTGCAAAATATGAAGTGAATGAAAATGAAACATTTATTCTTTCTTTGCACACTGTAGCTCATAGGTATTCGCCCAGTAGGAAAAAAGGCTGTAACTAATGATACCTGCAAATAGTTTGCATTAATTGACTTTTGGGGAAAGGCGGGGTCCAACTGGTTCCGATTTCAACTAAGACCGGGTCTGACTGGTTCCAGAAATGTCCAGACGGGTCTGGTCCGAATCTGGTTCCCAAAATTTTCACCTTTTACCACCTTTAGTGCCTAACATTTGCAATCGCGTCAGAAATGTTGTCGTTCCTTTCCACTGAGGTAATTAGAATTCTCTTAAAATGCAACGCGAGAAAAAGCAAACAAGGAACTTTTTTGAACATTTCGGGCGTATGTCATGTTATGCAACGTCCAATAGCACCCTTCTGGATATCGAGCAGTAGGTATATATTACTGCTCGGTATACTTCTACTGCAGTAGTGGCAACAGACCAGCGAGATGCGCGCCTGGCGTTCATGTTGATTCCCCGAATTTCCCATGGTTTCTATGAAAAGAAACACGAAGTGGCTGTGGCACCCTGATGGGAGTCACTTTTTCGTTCTTGATTTATTGCTGTCTCCTGAACACATGAAGAATGAGTTTCGCGATACACCGGCCGTCAAACCATTAGAATATAGACGTGAGTTCTGGTAACCGGTTGTTTTATTCATGCCGTGGACCATGATGGCTTTGAGGCTGCTTTAGTAAGTCTCCTATGCTTTGTTTCCCGAAATGATAACCATTTTTCATCGTCGCTCCGCTCAAAAACGGCATGTCACTGTCTGTGTCATCCTGACAGGCATAAAGAAATACTTAAAAACAAAAAGAAACGTACACCTCTGTGTGCACTGCTTGGAGCTGATTCTTGGTGCATGCTAGTTGTGTGTCCTAATCACTGCTGTTTTTCTGGTATTATTTTTTAGGTAACTGTTGAGTATCGCACTGTGCGTCGCACGCTCCACAGTGCGTCCAGCGCCCGGGGGGCGGCAGGCTGGGTCGGCCAGTCTGGACAGAGGTGACCCGAGCTGCGGCAAGGGCGCGAGGGCGGAGGGTGATTCGGCTTGTGCTCTTAGCTTTAGGAGCTCTGTCATTAGCTTAAGAAAATAAGCTTTTATCTGGCTTTAGGAACGATTGGTGAAGTAGTGCATGGCACTGCAGTGACCAAAGGAGATTTTTTTACTCATCATCGCTTTTATTCTAAGCGTTGGCTATTTTTGAGAATTGGTCTTGCGTCAGAAAGAAAGCCTAAAAACAGAATGAATGATCTGTGCATGCAGTATGTACGAGTAGATTGTTCTGGATTGGCTGTTTCTTTAGTGGTAGATCTTCATTGAAGCATTTTGAACAGCCGATACACAAGTTGGTCATATATTTCTAATACAATGTAACGCTACCATTTGTATAACAAAGTACACAAAGGCGTAGGTACTCAAAGGGACTATCCCACCTTTAACATGGGGTTTGAGTTGAGATAGCCAAGTTTGCGGCGAGGTTTAGAAACCACTATCTATCTAGGTTGCAACCCCCGCGGCCTCTTGGTGTTGAAGAACTTCGTTCCCTTCATTTGAAAATGGGCCTTGTACAAGGCCCTATCTTCAACATGGAGCGACCGTTAGTGTGACGTCACCTCGTTTAGTCATTCTGATTTAAATGGGTTTGTTCGTTGAAAAATCGCTTAAAACTTGGTCTGAACTTTGTTGTGGTGCCTACAGAGTAAAAAGAATCAGCTTTATGACAGTAATGTGGCCTGGGGAAGGAGGTAATTTTGGGCTGTGACGTCACATATTTGAAAGTTTGTGTTTGGAATATGGGAAGCCTAAGATGTTTAATGAAAAATAAATGCCAGAACCGTGTTCCTGGTCATCCAATCTATAAAGTCGGGCACAATTTAACTGGTTTTAACAACATTTTAGAAGGTGGGATAGTCCCTTTAATACCTACTTACTTTTTCATTTTCTTCTCATAGCCTCTTGTCAAAGCTCGGTTCATGATATAATACTTTGTCTGGCAACTCGCTAATTTAGCGTCGATCAGTCCCATTTCAATATGGCCACAGCCACAGCGACATTGGCACTTCCATCAGAAAGCAACAAAAAACGACCATGTCACAATGTTGGCCGTTTTGATTCATATTGCATCCTCCTGAACGCACAAAAAAAATAAAATGCCTCTTAAGTACTGAGGTTCTTGGACACAGATGTCGGGCAGATACAGAGCTGGCCCGCACGAAAATTGCGCTAGACTTAGACAAGGCGAACATACAACTAGCACATACACACTTTTGAGCGGCAACGAGCAAATCGACGCAAGAGAAAGACAGATGAAACGAAGAAAAGGCTTGCTCAAACTAACACTGGCCAGACGCAAAAGCCGTTTACTATACACTTACGCAAGGAGTGTTACTTTGCTCAGACATAACGGGCAAGCGAAACACCTGTACCTATAGATCGGTAAGTACCTACATCTGGCATTCGACAACATTGGCACACATGACACAACACTGAGGTTCCGCGCACAACTAGACAGAAGCCACCCAAAGTTCATGTCCTATTCGGTGTTTGGGCCTTTGATTTATTGTATTTAAACATTGAGGAAGTTTCTGTGCATAGGAATGCACATTGCACAAAGAAACCCGCACATACTTGTTTAGAGCATTTGATGCTTTTCTGGAGGTTGTTTTGTAACATGGATATCAGCACGAAGACATCAGTTTATCGCTGCAACTGGCGCGGCGGCACCCTGTTCTTCATTTTCATCCTCCGTGGGTACGGCAGCCTCTTCTTCGGCATACACAGGCAGAGCTGCTCTGCTCTCGACTTCCTTGAACAAGTGCTGGATCTGCTCCAGCGTCATACCACGTGTTTCAGGAAGACAGAAGATGGCGAAGAGTATCTGAACTACGCTGACACCCGCGTGAAGCACGAACGCTCCTCCCAGACCCACCGCAGCCTGTAGATCCGGGTATACCTTCAGTAGGATAAACGTACTGAAGTTGATGGACATGATGACCATGTTGGCACCAAGTGCACGTGTCTTGTTGGGTAGCAACTCGTTGGCGTAGCTGAAGGAGATTGGTCCGACGATACAGACGTACGGCAGCACGACGACCACGGCTCCTAGCATTACCATCCACCCAAGATGCGCCCGTTCGCCGGAGGGCAGGAAGTAGAAGGCAGCTATGATGCCACAGCCGGCCGTGCTGACCGCTCCGGCGACTCGCAGAAGCGTGAGACGTCCAAAACGCTCCACCAGAGGAATGGAAGGCACGGAGAGAAGCAGGGCAAACACGGGCACGACCAGCGCGCGCTGGTAACTGTCCAGAGATAGGTCAGCGGGATCGAGAACGATGGCGGTGATGAGAACCACCGTCTGTCCACCACCCCACACGAACAGCACCATCTGTAAAGCGGCTAGAAGAAGCGGTCGCAACGTCTCCCTCCGACCCATCAGCCGCCAAGCTGACACTCCGTCATCGGCAACAGCCAGGGATCGCTGGATGACGGCTACCTCAGCGGCGGCGTCTTCGTGTGGGTGGAAGAAGAGGATGCAACGGCGTGCCTCTTCAGCGGACCGTCCGTGGGCGAGCAACCACTTTGCTGAGTCGGGGAAGAAGAGAACGCCGCAAAGACAGATCCCAGGAGGCGTGCATCCGGCTACAACAAACAACGTTTGCCAGTCCAGGAACTGACCTAGCAGCAGCGCCGCCACCTGGCCCACGTACAGCAAACCGTTCATCAACGTCGTATACAGGGCTCTCCGATTAGGGGGCACGATCTCAGACACGTAACCACGCACGGTTCCCTCGGACATCTGCAGTGCCACAAACATCACAATCCTCCCAATCAGCACCCAGACGAAACTCTTCCCAAGCCCAGCAGATATGGCGCCCAGCGCATGAAGTGGCATAGCCACCAGAAGAAGACGTCGCGCGCCCAGCACTGGAGCTGCTGGTACGGCCAGCAGGCATCCCAGCATTCCTCCCAGCACAGTGGCGGCGATGGTCCAGTTGAGCTGATCGTCGGTGAGGAAGCGATCCGGCTGCTGGGGGACTTGGATCAGTGTTACGCTGTGCATGCCGAAGTTCATTCCCAGACAGAGAATACCTTGGCCGAGGATCACAGCAGCGAGAACCTGCCGACAGAAGAGAAGAGCTGGTGTGAGGCGGATGTTGTGTAGACAGGTTACGAGAAGAGCACATATGTCTGAGAACGACCACACATCGCAAATATCATTCGGCTGATAACACAAAAGTCCCACCAAACTCCTCTGACTACCTCGCTAACCCTACGAGTCTTTAAGAGTCCTTCAGCTTCTCACGGATAGTTACCCATGAGTCATACCTCATAGTCATTCAGAGTCGTTAAGGCGCTTAGACTCATAGCTGTTTCGTGTAAGTATACCTATCTACCCCGTGGTGTCACGTCAGTTGCAGCCTGCATCGGTCATTTTATGCATGTGTGCATCCAGACGGTCGGCGAAGCCAGTGCAGTGGTAACCGAGTAAAGCCTGAACCATAAAGCTTCAAAAGCTTCATGCAAAGTCGGATACCGCTGGCAGTATTTCTGAATTTGATACTGGCATGTGGTCAGTGTCAGTGAGTCACTTCTTACCAGTGGCCACCGTGATAGTTATATGGCTTCATTAGGTAAAGGTAAGCCTACATCAGGTGCAGCGCTTGTTGAAAAAGAAGATTCCGTATTTCCAGTTTCCACTAGTACGTAGTCTGTACTTCGTGGTCCTCAAGCGTAGGGGAGAGGCGGGAGAATTGGGACGCAGGAGAATAGGGACACGCCAATATCTAAAAAATGGACAGCATCCTTGCACGATTATTGCCTTTACCTTTTGATTCTATGTGTCATGCAACGATGGGAAGCCTTAGCAACCCTTTTGTGGGCGTCGTTTGGGCTGTGCTGGCTGGGCACCAAAAAACTTGTTTTTTCGAGTGCTATTCTGAGTTGTCTGTGCATTGCATATGACAAACTATCTTTCTTTTAACATGTTACGATGTTAGATTAACACCGTCCTTATGCGATTGCTAGTTTGTATGAACACGCTCTGTAACTGATAAATGACAAAAAAAATGCGTGATTTGTTATGGCTGTGTGTTGGAGAAAAGGGACACCAAATGGTAAAAACGGTAAAGTGGTGCAAAAATATGTGTTTTTACCTTCGTGTTTTGGAAGGGGTTGCAGCTGCACCCTTAACCACAAATACATCAAAGCGAAGACCAGAAAGTCTTACTCTGGTAGGAAAATGTGCATTTTATGGGAACATCGTAATCGTGAAAGACGATCCCGGCATTTAACGAAACAGATAGTGTGAAGATAAGTTCCAATGTATCAAATGATTGCCTATAAACATAGACACGACAAATAATTCGAGATAGAGTCATCCCAATACCCGATTTTTATATGTCCCAATTCAGCTTCGTGTCTGTCCCTTATCTCCTTGCATGTGTCCCTATTCTCCTGAAAATGAGTGTTTTTGTTTTTGTCCACATATAGCTACATCATTGCACAGGCTCGCTATTTTATGATGGCATAATGCAGAGAAATGGTGGACCTTTTATTGGCGCTGCGCAAAGCAGCTTGGCTACAATACTTGCCAAATAATACCTCAATGAACATGGCCTGAGAAACAAGTCCCAATTCTCCCGCAACGGTCGTCTGTGATTCTCAGTGAGTCCGGGGACCGGGATTCAATTTCTCCAGGTCTGGTTGTGCAATGTGCAGCACGCTTGTTTTACACTTCTTTGTTCGTCCTTTTTTCTTCGTATCGATATACCTCCGCTGCAAAGTTCCTTATATCAAACTTATTCCCGATAGTTTATGTAGAAGGTTAGATCCGAACGCCTTGATCTGGTCAAGCGCTCTGTTATCGCCATGTCCTTGCTACATACTCTGGTTTCTTGTTTGATTAACTATACAGTATACAGTTTACATTTGATCGACTCATGTTTCCTCAGCCAGGCGAGAGAAGTTTTCTGTAGACCATTGGATATATACTATTATACCAATGACCGTGATGATTATTCAATTGGTGATATCGAATGTCGATTCCGAGTAGAACATCTTTGAATTTTGAAGGATATCGAGCATTCCAAACGTGTTCATACGTCATAAACAATGATGAACCAGCTTGAGCGAAGAAAAAACGGGCAAAAGAAGTCATCGATGGATATCCTGTCAGAATCTCAAGCACGGAATGAGACCGCGCTGTGAACCTCTGCAGTGGACCAAGGGGCGCATCGGGACATAACCTAGGGGCGTTATGTCTCCGCAATCCGTCCTTAATTTAATTATTATATATTAAACCGCGAGTAGGTAGAACAAATCATTTAAACGTCGAGCCGATAGGCGAGACGTTTAAATGATTTTTCTACTTACGAGCGGTTAAATAATTTTATCCCGTACCGCTGATTCCTTTCGGGCGCCTAAAGGTTAAAAAAAAATACATTTTTTTACAAATACGACACATTTCAGAAGAGCCAGAGACAAAGAGAAGCAGAGACAGATAGAGCTTTGAAAAACGATCCAGACAATGTGATCGGTCTGGAATTGACAGGTTCATTGAAGCTCAAGTCGCAAATACAAAAAAAGAAAGAAAATGATGTTTCATTGCGTTTCCCTGCGCATACTGGTGAAAATAACGTAACAGTCAAATGGAAGAAATGTCTATTAGACGTTTAACAATTTGTTAATCGTCACTAGACGTTTAACAAATCACTTGAACGCACGGACGTATAAATAAACTTATTTACGTTTATTTATACGTCCGTGCTTGAACGACATCTGTTAATTTTCTCTCTTTGCACGTGAAGCAATTGTAAACACTATCTTCGGTGCGGGATAAGACATTTTAATCTAATGGTAAACATAGGCAGCGGAACGGGGAGGGCACCGTGCCCCCCTTTGATTTTGACATTTTTACATTAGCCCTATGGGCGTTGCATGGAAAAAAATGGGACCAAAACAGTGCCTCCCCCCCCCCCTTAATTGAAGGTGTTCCGCCGCTATTGACGGTAAAACACTGCATTTGAGATGCCTGTGCTTATAGGCCAGCAGTAAGTATAGCGACCAACTAGCAACGCCAGCCCCGGATCGATGCTATTGCATCATTGTGCTTGTTCCATAAGAGCTGACTGAGTTATTGATCCCAACTCGAGCTGGGAAGACTCTACGGATGCATCTGGAATCCAGTAGGCGTGATTACTGACCAAGGAGATTATTCTTAGAAAGCCTCTGACCGGATGGGTCACTGGAGAAGGGAGGGGAGGGGAGGGAAGGGCAGGGGACGGGAGGGGAGGGGGAGGAATGTGCCCTCAGTGTGTGCAGACTATCGGACCGGCGATGACGTAATCATGTCACATGATTCTCTGACGGTTTGCACCGAATTTCGTGCGTCATGGCTCGCTGTCTCGGTTTGCAGTGAAATTGGTGGGCAGTAGAAGGCGAGGGCAGCTGCCCCTAGCGGAACGCGATGGTCAGCTGGCTACGCTGCAGGCTTTTTTAGATGAGAATGCTGACCGGGCTAATAGCATGATTGTTTTAGACGGAGTGACAGCTTCCTTCATCGGATAACATAAATTGGACACCTTAATCTCAGATGCATATGAGGCGTCCAGAGATACTTTCACCGGTTATATTCCATGAACATATAGCTTTGCTTGGCCAATGCCTGGGTGTGTCCCTACTCATGTCATGATTCATTATTCATGCCTCGCATTATTTGAGTGCCGCTAGCTTCCGTAGTTCACCGATTATTGTTAAATGCCGCCTGTTGACCGATATTACACATACGTTTCCGCTTGTAGCCAGCCACCCCATCAATCACTGTCCATTTACCGATGACAAGTCCATCTGTCCTGACAGGATGGTATGTCTTCCCTGAGCCCTGCCCAACGCTGTCAAACCGCTGGGTGTTTGTTGCCAAAACGTCCACGAAAACACCCTCAAACACCACCCGAGGCTTGACCGATAGCACGGAGAGACTGTCAAGTGGACATTTTTCGACTGGCACAGTCGCCGCCGCAGTGTTGTGACCAGGCGCTCAATATCTCCCGCAGCGCTATCGTCCTAGCTCTCAGCTGGCCTGGATCCACGAGGCCCCCTGAGCTCCTCTCAACATAGCGGGTATCCCATTACGCTGATGAAGCGCGTGGTATGGACGGCCTGTACACGATCTCAGACAGTGCCGACAGCCCCCTCTCCCCCCCCCCCCCCCCCACACACACACACTCCCAGAGCACTCTCCTACCCCCCCCCCCCCTGAGCCCCCTCGAGCCCCCTCTGCACCGGGTCGGTCATGACGAAACTATAAACAAACGCTGGGAAGCAGCGCCGGTGGTTCTGTACAGGAGATATATTGCAGGTCTGCAGAGTGGGAGGCAGAGCCTGGTCTTGGAAGAGGAGGGTAGAGTGGGGGGGGGGACAGACGGCTTGGAACAGCTGATAATCACCAATTTGATTCAACCCCTAACATTTGTATTACTTCGTCTTGTTTCCTTATTTGCTAGCTGAAATAATGCTTTAAAAAGGCACAACGGCTCTGCTTAACTACAGTATCCAACCGCTTGTTTGACCATCATTGTCCGAACTAATTAGCTTGTGTCGAGAGCGTGCGGGGTCGCACAGGACATGTTGGGAAAAGAACGCACAGGAAAACTGCCTCATCGGTACAAAATATATGTTTCGAAACAATTGCATCTTGTTTTGTCAAACATGTGCGCGGCCATGACATTTCGGTAAATTGTCGCACTTTTCTAGATATGACATTTTGTGAAATGTGTAAATTGTAATGATGTCAGGCACTGATGATGGCAAATGCGACTCCAAGTCAACGAGCCGATACATAGAGAATCCAGATGCAATAGGGGCCTAACTGCACGAAGACATAGGGAAGACAATAGCGACCGTTTTTAACTGCCGTTTACTTCAGTTGAAGCGTAAATCCTGGTCTGGCATGACTTGGAGAGAAAGGTTACAGGTCAAAGGTCGTTTGAGCAAACATATTATGCGTAGCCCAGTGGCATCGCCCAGTTTAAGCACAGTTAGGTTGCGCATTAAGAGCTCCCCCGTTAGACACGTGTGTTGACGCCCCAGGGGTGCCTGGCGAGCCCCAAACAGATGTCAGTTGAACCACCCATCAAATCTCAAATGAGACTTTAACCAGACATTATTGCCGCCAGGCGCTCAAGACAGGCATTGGTTTTGTAATCGAAAATTGGCACGTGTGAGAAATTCAGCAACAAACATAGGCTACTGGTGCAGTAGCGATGTACTAAATGTTTGCTTAAAAACCTCGTGCGGTCTGGTTATACTCGAACATAGATATCACGGGGCCCGTGGGGATAATTCATCCTCGTGAATGTCAATAAAGAATCTATATTTTGGATACACCATTTTATATTTACACATAGCTATCTTAAGACATCGATATGTAACACCTACCTACAACTTTCATTAGTTATCTTTGTTTTATTTATTGGTCAATCAATGAATTTAATGATATATTTATTATTTTATTCCTCTATTTTTTTCAACAAAGCTGAAAGATGCATGATAATCGTTGCCTTTCGATAGGGAAACGCACTTTACAGAAGCATGTAAAAATGATTAACAAAAACGGTGACTCAACTCAATATGTTAACTGTGAATAAATTCAGCGACAACCACCTTTGTTTCTTTTGACAATAGTTATGAATGCTTCATAACGTCAACAAAGACAGTTTCCTCAAAATAGCTTTAATCTTTCAATGTTCCGTGCCCCGGATGCTTCCAGTGCTGAGTTATATAACTATTCTATTTGCGTGGTTTTTCCTATCTGTTGACCATAATTCCCACAGACGATAGAACTACTTTCCGAACAAAACCTTTCTTACATATATTTGTAAGCTGCATGACTAACGATGACATACCGTCCAATCGGGTAATGGAGACAGGAGAATTGGGATGCCAAAGTTTATCGTACCCATCTAAGCCGTAATAGTTCCCTCCGATTCAACTGACCAACTGGCTGCGATTGCTCCCACCAACTGCAGAGTGCAGACACTACCCCGTCAGGAATTTCCTATATCGAGCGCGGTAGTGTTGTTTAGAGATGTCAATCGGATACCAACTTTTTGGTATACCGATACCAAACCGATACCAACTTGGTATTTGGTATTTCAGTCGTAAAGTGTTTGGTATTTTGTTGGTATCATAAGCCCTCACTAATGTATAAGAGGCTAAGAAATCGGCAAAAAGTTGGTATTTCCCTCAGGTTCCCAAGTTGGTTTGGTTTCGGTATTTTCCCGTGGTTTTGGTTGGTATTTGGTTTGGTATCGGTATTCCGATTTTCCGTAATTGACATCACTAGTGTTGTTGTTAGTGAGTGGACGAGGGGGAGACCGGCTGGTCAACGAATCTTGGGCTAGCCGGCGGCCTAGGAGACACCGCTTTCCCAACCCGGCCCGACCCGACGCGGACTGTGTAGCGTCTCGCTGTGTGTGAGCGGGGGGGGGGGGGAGAGGGTCTGTCCGAGGCCAGAGGACAGCGTCCCCCCCCTCCGCCTACCGTCCTAGCCCGGGGCGGTCCTTACCCTCTGTGGGGACCCGTCCCCACGGACCCTCTGAGACCGCGTTCCCTTTCATCTAATATACCCCGAGCGTCGCCCTTCCCCGTCCCGGCCCGGGGCGGTGCATACCACGTGTTCTATCACCGGGCCCTGAGGGGCTGCGTCCCCTCCTAGAGGACGCCTGAGATCCCGCTACCTGCGGTGGGATTAGTGCTGGTATGCGAGTACCCTGCCGTCCACGGCCCTCACCGCCCTTCCGGCGCGGCGGAGAGGGGGTAGTCTGGTCGGAGGCCGGTGTGGTGCGCACGTGAACAGAGACTGGTGTAAAAAATGTTTGGTCTACGAAACGACTCGAACACGGGCTCTCACCACCGGAGTCTAACCCTTTGCCAACTGAGCTGCAGGACGGGCTAGAACACTCGAAAACTTACAAATTGCAAGAAAACACAGAAAGCAAGAAACTTCCGGACATGTGTGTCATCATTGCTCCATTACCTATCTGGCAGGTAAGAATAACAAAAAGTTGCATGGAATGTGAATGAAGGAAATGCAAAGCTGTACCCGAACCAATTCGGCAAGGGTTTCCATGATATTCTTGAAACTTGGCCCTTGGGAGAGTTCTGCCAATATCAACTTAACGTGCGCCAGCGATGTTAAACAAAACTTTTATGATCAATCTTAAAAGGTCATTAATTATTTTGATAGATACAGAAATTTTTGCTAAACATAGCACCTTAGGCACAAAATAAATTAATACAGAATAAACTGCTCCGTTGATCCGTGGAAGCCTTATAACTGCCGTCCTTGTGCCTGACTTTTACTATTTTTATCGAACCAAGTCACAAGCATCAGCAGCAAACACCATAAAAAACGTTACGACTGCATGCCACGTCTGAGAAACATTACCTGTTTGACGGTGCCAATCCAAGTGCCAGTCGGGCGCTGCTCAGGCTCCCTCGCCTGCGTTGACTCTTGTTTCTCCATGTCTGCTCCTCCCGTGGCCCCTTCCAGTGTCTCTGTATCCTCCATCATTACTCCAGAGTTGTGAGTCTTCCCTCTAATGAGTCTAAACTCTCCCGCGCGCACGCGCTCGCTGCGACCGACCGCTCCCGACTCCGTCACCCCTCTGGTGTGGCGTCGGCGCTGCTCGGATGGTACCCCCATCCCCCCCCCCCACCGACGCTGCCTCATGGATCGTCGGTGGCCAGAGGCGGGTCCAGCGGTGCTGTGTCGGGACGGTGGTTTAGTTGCGAGGAGATGAGAACAGCTCTAGATCACGCATGTGTAAAATTATTACTCTACGGCGAGGGATGAAATAGGTTATCTTCATTCAGAGTTGGGCGAAAAAGCACGGTGATTTTTATAAGAATGAATATATGCTTGGACTAACTTGTAAAATAAGGAGATGAGAAACAATGCTATGATGAGTTTGAGTTCGAGTGGTCGTCAAGGAAATGAAAAATTAAAGGTGTGTTAGGTGAGACAAACATTGATCGTGAAAATGAGGTTCAATAGCACGCATGAAGCCTTCCCCCAGTGCAATCCTTTCTTCCAAATGAAAAGTGGCATACAATGTTTTTCGACCATGTAACGTGAAAAGTTTCATGTTGTGCAATGTGCAGATTGGCAGCAGGTTTCTGCTAGAAACCTGTCACCTATTGATCAATGTATTTTTGTTGCCGAAGCGTCATTATTCTTCTCAGGTAAATAGATGTCTGAAATGTTAATTGTTTTCAAAACGGGCTTCGCTGAGGAAACTAAATATTAACACATTTCAGGGCAGTACTTTTTAAGCCATGATTTTTTTATAAACGTGTACTTAAAACCAGTGAACAAGGCTGATCAATAAAGCCGAAATATTTGGCTATAATAGGTATTTACATAGGTTCCACAGCGAAGCCCGTTTTGAAAACAATTAACATTTTAGACAATGTACTTTTTTGCATAAATCGAGCATTATCATCCACATCGGTGAATGTGTATGGTCTCATGTTCAAGTAACCTAAGTTCAAGCCATCGGATGGGAATTGTGTCGCAAATTATTTTCGTTAACTCACATAGGTAAGCGCATTGAAGTGTGCCTGTAAGTATTACATTTATACGATGATTCAAAATGAATAAGTTTGCCCGTTACTTGCGCATATCGCCGTCACGATTTTGATTGTAAAAGGTACGCCCTCTGTCGTTCAGGATTATGGAAGGTTTCTATGTTTCGAGAAACTATTTTTGACTGAGTGAGCCGGCCCAGGCGGCCCGCCAAAACGTCCATTCACGCCTTTCTGGATCCGCCAATGTAATGAGACATCGATCATAGAATCCTCTGATACCACCGGGCCAGCTGCCTTACGGGGTTCCAGGGGGGGGGGGGGTTCTGGGGTCCAGGGTCTACCCACGCCAGCAGATCAGACAATCCAACCACCGGATACTTCCGGGAGTCCACGGGTCCACACCGGAAACTCGGAGTCACATGCTCCCGGTTCAGATAGCGTCCAAGCCATTCAGAATCAGCATGAAGTCAGCAGAGACTGTGCATTGTGCAGCTGCCCGTCCTTTTGCTGCTATTTTGGCATACACGTAAGTACTTCTATAGTCTATGTCTATACAGGGCGCAGGATCTCATGCAAGGATTTTTTTTTTTTGCTTGTTGTGCTTTAAAGTGATGAAGATTGTTGATTACCTACATACCTACCTAAAATATTTGCAATATTTTAAGCTCGGTCTAAGACACATTAAAATGTGAATTAGAGTAATACGATACGGACTGCAGCGTGAAACATGCCTGCCAAGCAGACCATTGGGCTCCATACCTATAAACGCTGCCCCATAAGAAAAAAACATAAGATGTGAAGTTCAAAGGAAATGGAACGCTTTCAAAAGCACAGGGACGCTTTTTCACCATTTTGTAAAGGCACATTTTGCACTCTGGGCCATTCGGTAACCAAAGTTCCGTAAAGCGGAATTCCGTGAGCAACATTACCCTCTTTTAGGCGCTGAATCACTTATCGAAACAACAAAAAATGTCAGCTGAATGCTGCCAGCCAGTGTCAGCAGAATGAGTGCGCATGCGCGCGAACCGTCGCCGAATAGCGGAAAAAGGTGAACCAGTTCGGCCTTTTCTGCGGTGAGACCGCGCAAAGCCGACTTCAGTGTCCTCTGAAGTCCTCGAATGTTAGTTTTTGGGTCCCCTTCTCTTTTCAGTACGTATCAACCTTATATGTTTCCAATAGCCGTTTTCACGACGGCCATCTGGTTACTGGTACACATTTGGTGCACATCTGGTACAGATTAGGGGCAGATTTGGTCAAATCAGGTTCAGTGTGTCTCTTAGCAGCTATCAGCTAGGGTTGCACTAATTGCTTATATGCCTGCTTTGTCATATTATCGGAGAGCATCATCGATTTAAACACTGAAATAAATTCATAAGGGCCGTTTTCACGACGGAACTTTCGCAGAGGAACTTATTTGATACCTAAAAAGTACCTACCCTTAGAGGCCTTAACATCCCTCAAACTGAAATATTTTATGTTCAAAATAATTTTAGAAGTTTAAATCTGGGCATTTTTTGCCCTCAAATCACTTATTTATTTACAAACACAGCAATTTTTGGTTCTAGTAGCCCACCTTTCGACTATGAGGTATTAAATCAGCGTGGCAACTTGCTCCCTCTTTGCTCCCTCGGGTATCTAATTCCGGAATTCTTAAAAACAAGGAAAGTATATATCGAGTTCTCTTTTATACCTATTCAGTTATGTTTTAATGGTGATTAAAATATGACAAATTTTTTAATTACATTTCATATAAGAAAACACGCAAAACAATGAAACAAAAAATACTACGGCAGATAATTACCTTCAGGTATCTAATTCCGACCAATCAGCACCTCAGTAGGATATGACGTCATACAAGAATGGTGGTGAAGGCCGTTTGCAGTCCCGGCCGGTAGGTCACGTGACCGCCGGGCGCCTCGGGTCACGCGGCGGTCGGGAGTCGGACGCGGGGCGTGGTCGCGGGCGGACGCGCGGGGCATCATGCTTTGCTTTGCTTGCTTTGTCAACTTCATATAACTTACTATCGCATTCGTGTGAAAGCCAAACACTGCTCAGTGACCTTAGAATTTGAGTTTTGGAAAGCTCAAGTCCCTATAGCTCCTCAGGTCGGCAACAGTTGAAGCCTCATCTGAACCCATGTGAAAAAACGACGGTAAGGAACCTTGTAATTCGTATATGATGTAAGATAAAAACACCAAAACCACCCAACGTTTCGTGTTATTCACTTTTTCAAGGGTGATATGACACATCTATACTACTATTTGAACAGGATCCATCTGTCTGTCTGTTTGTCTGTCCGCCACGCCGTGTAGTGGGTTCAATTTAGCCGGCCTACAGGGCAGACGGTATATCGTAAGGGGTTGAAATTTGCACACCTTCTAGGTGACAGAGTGGGTCAGCGCCTTTTCTAGGTTTCGGCTCGCTGGGGTGCACGGTTCGCGCGTGGGGCGCGCCGGAAGAACGCCAATGGAATTTTTATTGGTTCGTAGATCTTCATTGAGAGCCGGGGTCGACAAACTTTGTGGCCTAAATGCATGCCGATCGGCGGCGAGTGCCTCGCATTGGCGGATCGGCAAGTTATTAATTTGAATGAAAAGTGGCGAGAGAATGTGTTGATTGTTGCTAAATGGGTGCAGTTTTTGATAGGTATTTACAAATGCACCGCGTTTGTCGCAATGCGTCACATTGGTCACAACACGCCATTTTTGCCGCAAATCGCACAGTTTTGTCAAATATGGTCTGATATGGGTGCAATTTGGTGCTAGGATGCATGCTCAACCAACAGGTTCAGATGCGCCGCGTTTGTCGCAGTGTGCCACATATGCCACAAAACGCCATTTCCGACAAATACGGTTAAGCGTAATGGAATGGCACGAATAGGAGCAGTGCTAAAAGCACTTTTAAAGTCTGATATTTTAGTACTGATTGGATCCAATTATTCTGTGACCTGACATGACCCAGCGGTGTTGGTAGGGGTAGGGGTAGGGGTAGGGGTAGGGGTAGGGGTAGGGGTAGGGGTAGGGGTAGTGGTAGGAGTAGTAGTAGGAGTAGGGGTAGTAGTAGGGGTAGTAGTAGGGGTAGTGGTAGGGGTAGTGGTAGGGGTAGTGTAGTGGTAGGGGTAGGGGTAGGGGTAGTGGTAGGAGTAGTAGTAGGGGTAGGGGTAGTAGTAGGGGTAGTAGTAGGGGTAGTGGTAGGGGTAGTGGTAGGGGTAGGAGTATGGGTAGTAGTAGTGGTAGGGGTAGGGGTAGGGGTAGGGGTAGGGGTAGTGGTAGGGGTAGTGGTAGGGGTAGGGGTAGGGGTAGGGGTAGTGGTAGGGGTAGTGGTAGGGATAGTGGTAGTGGTGGAGGCAAAAGTAGAACAGTGGCCCGGGCTGATCCCAGCGGACGAGAGGTGACCTATGTGACCTGGCCTGACCCAAAGCGACCGGGGCTGACCCCTTTGACCCGTCTTGACCCCGTATCACCCAAATGTCATCCAACAACGCCCTCAGAACAGTTCTTTTTTAAATTCTCTTCACATTTCCGTCCATATCTATGCTTCTAGACGACACATCTACATGAATCAAACACCATTCGAAAGCAAATTGGCTGGTGCCGCAATTTTTTCCTACCACGCAGCAAAGCAAGTGGCGCAGCCGCTTGTCTATATTACTATTTGAGGAGGGTGCGTCTGTCCGTTACCGAGGTCCCGACTTGGTAGTGCTTTGCGTGGACTACAGGACAGACCGTTGCACCTAGCACGCTGAAATTTGCACAACTTATAGATCAAGGATGCGCGACGTGCCTTTGAGGGGTCTCAGCTCGATCGGATTGATAAGGAGCGCGTGGCGCGTGCTCAAAAAGTGCAAATTCGCGTCATAGACTTTACATGTATAAATCGGCGTGCGAAATCGGGCGAAAACGGCTAATTTTGGCCGACACGGGTCCAGTTCCCGTGCAATATCTTGGTGACCAGGGGTCCGACCGGCACGGGGAAAACAGCATCGTGTACAGAATTGAACGGGCTATTGAATGGTGTGCAATGCAGAGGATAGCACGCGCCACGTGCACCGGAGAGGGCACTTTTATTTGAAAAATTGC